GAGAGTGTAATTTCTGTAAAATGAAATTTCCCTGTAGCAAATTTTTTTTGGTGGGATTTAGTGACTATTATATATTGGGTTGTTCGGAAAGTAATTTAATTTTTTTTACCACTAGACAGATTAGTCGTATTTTTCCCACCATTTTCATTCTAAACCGTATTATCATTATATATTTTGACAGTTAGCATTTTAAGGCTTATTTGTAAAAAATTTTATTTGATTTTGTGCAATTGTTTATTTTTTGTCTCTCATCAAATATGGAAGATCGAAAGTAGCATTTTCGACATATTTTGCTTTTTTATTATCAAAAAAAAAAATGCCGTTCAAGCAAGAAAAAAACCATGTGGCATGTATGGTGGAGATGTGCTGACAGAACAACAGTGCCAAAACTGGTTTACAAAATTTCGTTCTGGCAATTTCGGTATTGAAGATGCACCATGTTATGGATGGCCAATTGAAGCCAATGAAAACAAAATAAAAGTACTGATTGAAGCAAACGGCTGAACAACAACACGTGAAATCATTAAGTGATTAAATTTGTCAAACTGAACTGTTTTATGATTACTTGAAACAAATTGGTTTTGTTTTTAAGCTTGATATATGGGTTCTACATGTTCTTAAAGAGAGATGCTCTTTTTGGTGGGATTTTAAGGAAATTTTTTTTTGGAGCTTTTACCAGACAATTTAACAATTGATTTGAAAGTATACTGCCATCAAGTAAACAAATTGAGTAATGAATATCATCAAACAGAAAAGGAGGCCAGAATTGATCAACAAAACAGGTGTAGTGTTTCACCATGATAATGTCAAATTTCACACAAGTTTGGTAACTGGTCAGAAACTGTTATAACTTAGATGGGAAGTGCTCTCACACCAACCATATTCGCCAGATTGAGCACACTCAGATTATTACTTGTTCCAGTCTATACAAATTTTTTTTTAACTGTAAGACATTTACTTGAAATGACAATGTCAAAAATCACTTGGATCAGTTTTTTTGTAAGCAACGATCAAAACTTTTATGAATGTGAAATCATGCTACTACCAGAAACGATGACAACAAATATTTCACCAAAATGGTCAATAAATAATTTCACAAAATATTTGTTTATTATAAAAATATTGTTTTTTTTCCACGGAAAAAACTAAATTACTTTCCGAACAACCCAATAGAACTTTGACTGTAAATAAAACTTATCTGCCAAATTGTATGCTTGCCAAGCATGCAAAAATTTTTAAGTTTCTGCCACCCAGTTAACTCTGTTCATTTTGAATCACTCAGTTGTTGTGTAACCGAAACTGATGTCATCTCACTATTTTTTCTGCCTCACCACATATACATCATTCCTAACAATTTCAACTCAATAAAAATTAAATCAAACTTTTTTGATGTAACAGCATTGAGTTATTTTTCTCATTCAACACCCCCTTATAAAATTTATTTTACTCTATGTTATTTTGTTATCTAAGAAATTACAAATAAAGTAAATATAATTACTTTGCTTGAGTTAACTGACTCGTTTCCTCCACTTCTCTTTTCTCTTCTTCATTTTTCTGTTGGCATTCTGTAACATTGGTCTCTCGAATTTCATTCTCTTCAATTTTTGGATTGGAAATTTCCGTATTTTCTGGACAGTCATCTACTCTTGACTCAAATTCTTTTGTCTCTGCAAATATAGACAAGTATTAAGTAATTACAAAGTCTGTCCTCTTGCAACTCACCATTCGTCAGTGACAATTCTCCATTATTAAAATATAATATAAAATAATGCCGGTTACTCAAATTCCGTATAGATATTCGACGTTTAGTTTTCGGAATCGTACTTTGGTCATCGATATGGTTTTCCTCCGGCTGCCGTTCCAACGATGTAGTGACCTCGGCCTGCAGATCCGTCGAGACGTTCTCCTTGCCAGCCGGCACTTCGTTGGACTGCAGGTTCTCGCGAGAGACTGCTTCCTTCTTATTCTTTTTTTTATTTTTCTTCTTATTTTTGCTATTAGTCTGAAATTGTAATCACATTATAATTTACAGCTAATTAGCAAAATAAATATAGTAGTAGTAATCGTAATTACCTTTGACTTATTGTTACTAGTAACACTCCATTCTTTCAATGCCTGCGCAGCTCCATCTAATAAGGTAAATCAAAAATTGATTGTTAAATAAAACACTAAACTAGTCTAGTCTCTCAATTCGATACCATTTGAAATATCTTTAAAATGAAAAATACAGACATGCATTACAGTGTAGTTGGTACAAATTTAACTGGAAATTACAACTCTCTCCATTAATTTAAAGTAATTCAAATAAGTATTTTTAAAACTACAATTTCACAAGGATAAATCCTTCAGGTTTATGCCATTGCAGGTTGTGTTCATCACTATTGTTATTCATTAAAGAGAATTTTATTAGATAAAAACCATGTTTCCTTACACAGCAAAGAGTTTATGGATTGTAACAAAAAAGGCCATCCAATAGACTGCCAAAATTCTATTTTTTTCATTCAATTACTGTTTAGAAAATAGAAAAATGTAATTCTATCATGCATAATTAACACAAATCATTGTACAGTTAAGCTAGGGCTATCACTTTAAATATAAATATATATACATCATTTTTATCCTCAAAATTCACTTTGTATTGACAAAAAGACAGGGTTTATAGCCTAATAATGTTATAATTATCAAGTTGAGTGTCTATCTGCAACAAGACTGACTAACCACACATCAAAAACAACTTTGAAAATTCATCCTTTGTCGGACAGATTATAAATACAGTAGAGTGTCATTTATCTGAATCAATTGAGGACTGGGGTTGTTCGGATAACTTATTTTTCGGATAACCGATTATGTACTAAAAAGTACATTAACCTATCCCATGTTGAAATTTTTCTCCGTTTCATGTCACTTTGCGTTAAATTTTCGTTGATGTTAAGTCTAATGTAAACTTTTTAAAATAATAATCATGGCTATTGTATCGTTAAAAATTATTTCTTTATTTTTTACAAACAAAATAAATATATTGAAAAATATAAAAACAAAAAAAAATTATACTTTAGAAGTTAATCTAGTATCAAAAACATTCCATTCAGCATGACACACAGTTCCCAGAAAAACACCACACAAAAGTGGCAAAACACACGCACCAACAAAAAAAAATATTGGAGTAGCCCAAGATATAGCCAAAGATTGTAATGCCACAGCACTAGCAAAAATTTAAATTTGCAGACTGGAATTCTTTCAGATAACTGACGTTTCAGATAACCGACTTTCAGATAAACAATGCTCTACTGTATTTAACAACAGTAAATGATAAAATAAATTACACACAGAGAAAAATTATTGAAAACTTATTGACATTTAAGGTAGAAGTTTGAGTAAGTGTGCATGTAATAATATCAATCAAACTGTGGATTATTGCATAGAAAATGAACAAAAAAAAATTTAACAAATTAAACATAGAGCATGCTTTGGTGGTTTTGGGAAAAAATAAAAGCGACAGACAAACGTACGTAGTACAAAAAAGTTTTCTAAAATATTTTTGGTAATTATAAACTGTTTCTTAGAAGTAAACATATAAAATATCTCAATTTCAATTTAAATGCTAGAACATAATGGTTACTTTTTATATGTTTCTTTAAAAAAAAAAGCAAATCATTAAAAATTTTAACGAAACTGCTTGGCATGTTACAACTCTCTTTTTACGTTCCCACATTGAGAGAAAATGCACCTAACCAAATCGGAAAAAAAAAATACAATTTTGTAACAATAGTAATCCCTTCCTCTTAATTTTTGTCAGATATTTTTCGGTTAGTTATATCTTTTCTGATCACTTGGTAAAACAAAAATGCTCTCTAAGAAGATTCTGGAGCAATGTTAAGTAGTAGTAAAATTTTACAATGAAAGTTCAATACAGATAAAAGCAATCAGTTGCTAATTATGTACATCAAACACCACTTATAATTAGAACTATTACTTACCCTCTGTAAAGGCACTAATAGCTAAATTTTCATCAAATTCATAATACTGAAGAACTAATATGACGTCGTGCTTGCTTATAGACGGGAAAACTTCACGAACTTTGGCAATCTGAAAAAGAACCAAAGTTTATTAATGAAAAACAAAAATTCACTAAAATTTTTAATCAAAAAATAATCACTATTTCTATTTTATCAGAGTTCCACTCATAAAAAATTTATTTTCATACCCTAATACTTTCAAATCAGTTACCGTCTTTAGGGATTAATGTGTAATCTTCGAGAGATTTCAGCCTCATATAAAGCAGTTTTGCAGATATTAAGAATGCATAAATCAAACACTTATACTGACTTGTCTTCTATCAAATCTATTTTAAGCAAACTTAAAATAAAAAAGTGCAAAAAAATAAAATTGCCAGTGTAAGTTTGAATGAATGTAGGCTGTTTTTTTTCAAGCTCCAATGGTCCATAAAAAGAAAACAAGTGTAAATAACAAATTGAATTTATTAACAGAAATTAGGTACAAACATGGTTACTTTTTGACACAATCACCATGAAGATTGAGGCATTTTTTCATATCTGTGGACAAGCTTTTCCATCCTCTTGTCATAGAATGTTGCCGCCAATGACTTGAGATGGATCATAACATTGTTTTTAAGATTGTCATTAGTCTAGAACCTCTGCCCACCTAGCCACCTTTCCTGTTCAGGAAAGAGGTGTAAGTCACTCGGCGCTAAATCAAGGCTATATGCAGGGTGTTTAAAGGTGGTGAAGACTTCCACCCAGCTTAAAACTTTTTCATGTGTGAAGACTTCCACCTCTTTCTTGAACTGAAAACATGGCTAGCAGGGCAGAAGTTTGAGACTAATGACAATCTTCAAAACATTGTTGTTAATGCCATCTCAAGTCACTGGCAGCAACATTCTATGACAAGGGAATGGAAAAGCTTGTCCACAGATATGACAAATGCCTCAACCTTCACGGTGATTGTGTCAAAAAGTAACCATGTTTGTACCTAACTTTTGGTAATAAATTCATTTTGTTATTTACACTTGTCTTTGTTTTATGGACCATCGGAGCTTGAAAAAAAAAACTGCCTTCATACTTGTAGCTCATTAACTGATTATAAATAACTTTACACATCCAAAATTGTAGCTTTTAACTTGTTACAAAAGTTTTCATTTGACAGATTTCCCTTGTAATTTGCAACCTTGTAGAGTATGTAACGATTACAAGCGTTTTATGCAATGGAGCCTGGGAGAAAACATGATCTAAGATGCTAGAACAACACATGCAAGAAACAGAAAATATTACCATTTTAATTCAATACATAATTCTATAATAAAGAAAAAATTATATTTAGAAGTAATCTAACACTCTAATTTTTATTCTAACATGTTTGCATCACATAAAAGTCACACAACACAAAAATGCATCAATTGGCATCGAGCATGTTAAAACATTTGACTCTTGTCACTTTCATCCAAATGCTTTCTATAAATTACATATTTTGCTGTACATTCCAACAAATTTTAATCGCCAAAGAAAGTTTAATATCAACAAATAATAACAGGATTTCTATTAATTATTTCAAGAGTGCATGTTTTACAATAGTCCAGCCTTCATTTCATTAAATGAAAAAGGAATAATAAAAACTAAAAAATTAACAACATTTTTTTAATCAATTTTTCTTATTCGACAGAGAATTAATAGAAACAAAGAGAAACACACACAATGGTCTGTTTCATGGAAAACATATCCTGTTCGGTACTTCAGAAGAGATACTCAAGAACAGACTTGAAAGACAAGTCTGTAGCAGAAAAAACTTGAAAAATATTTACAACATAAAAGATAACAGAGAGGTTGCGGCGCAAGTTCAAACGTTACTTGTACACAGCAAGCAGAAGTACACGATTTACGTTTTAACTCCAAGAAAAACTCGTTGCAGTGCACGTTCACAACATCACGTAAATGTTGTCAGTAAACGTTGTGCATTGACTCACAGGAAATTTGTTGAAAAAATGGCGGTTACATTTAACGTTGAGGGTTACCAGCAAAGGTAAATAAACAAATTAAACTATTTTAAAGTATTTATAGGATGTTTAATAACACTAATTATTTTTAATTAGAGTTGTCTCTCCTACTGTATGATAGGACACCCTCATACCTTTGTCGAGAGTAGTAGTGGCTTATGTAAATTCAAAAGCAGCTCGAAAAATTGATTTTTAGAAAATTTACAAACATACTACACTGTTGATAGTAGAAGATGCCACGGAAGAACAAACCTACCTTAACTTAAGCTATTATGAAGGCAAATATATGTAAATTCTATAGGCACTTTGCATCACTTGCTAAAAAATTGAATAATTAAATAATTTCTGGATTAAAATCATCTGTTTCTTTACAATATTATTCGTAAATGCTTAAATAATCATTATTTTAATAAAATAGGTCATAATTTTAACACCAAACATAAAAAAATGAAGAAGTTTAAATCGATCTTCTACTCGCCATGCTAGACATAGCAAATGCCATTATTGACTGTCTAGAATTGCCAGATGGCGGCACTCAACTGTCCACTGTTAACGTTTTGGGCTGAATACGACAACCGCAACCTCTCTATTTATCAAAAAACAAAAAATACAGTAAAACTTCTTTAACTCAAATGCCTGTCACTCAAAGTTATTTTCTACTCATTGGAGCTTAGAGAAATTTTACTGTATCTCAAGCAAGGCAGATTGAAAAAAAAATATTGGAAGATAAAGAACTATGGTGTCAAATTGAGGCTATTCTAGATCCTTACTACAGCTCCCATATAAGTTATATACATATAACTTATATGAGAGCTTTAGTAAGGATCTAAAAATAGTCTCAATTTGGAAGTTGAAATACAGTTTCAATACAGAATGGGATTCTCATATTTGATATACTGCTCCTGTTGCAACAAGCATTGGCCAGCCTTAATATAGATGATGATGTCAACGTTAACAGATTTCCTAAAAAGAAGGCAAACATATACAGTATTCCAATAACCATATATTTGAAAAATTCTAAGATTTGTCTCATATGGGATCATAATTATTCTATAACATACCCATGCAATAAATAGTGTATCTTCCATTTAATAAGATTTACCAAAATATTTTAAAATTAATTAAGAATGAATAATTATTTTTTTGTGCTTTCAAAGATGGAATCTGAAGAAAATAAATAATTTTTTATTAATAAGATACAAATTTCTTATACACTATCAGCAATACATCATAAATTTTATTATTATTTTGTACTTTTGGATGCTTCAAGTTACAGAATTATAGAATAATTACCTGAATGTATTAACGTGAATCACAGGTATGATTTTTCCTTGATATATACAATTTGATATGTAAAACTTGTTCTGTTTAATCTTTCATCAAGAAATCAAATTCTTGAGTGAATGTGCAAACATAATTTGATATATACTGTGTTTCCATGTGTATTTTTCACACTTTTTCTGCCATTTTTTGTTAATCAAAAATCAAGATGCAAAAATATACGATTTATTTTTAAAGGTAGACTACATCAGTATTTATTCATTGAAGTTATGATTTTATAACATAGTTTTAATATTTTAAAAACTTTGCATACATATTCAAATGATTTTGAACTTTCACATCAAAGAGTATGAAACAATTTTTAAATTTATAAAGATTTTTCCTCCTCTTCATACATCTGATGGCCCATCCTTGACTAACCTTAAACTCAATAGAAGAAATATTTTGTATCTGAGCAATATTGTGAGTCTATGATTGAACATATCACATGTTACAGTACAGCCATTGCTGCACATTTCTTCAACATACCACAACATTTCTTCCTCAAGTTGGGGATATTTTCCATCTTGAGACCACAAAATGCCCTCACATTGGACTTTGCATTGCTTAGAGCTTCTTTTTGTTTATGTCAGAAGTGAACAAGTGCTTCACTAACACCGAACTTTTGTAGATCTCTCGATTTCTGCTCTGTTCCGCAAAGCAGATTTCTTTAATTTTATGCTGTGCAGCAAAACTTATTTTTCTTGTCCTCTCACAAAGTTGCAGTTAACTCTACTCGGTATGACATCTGTAAATGGTAAAACCCATGAAAGCCAAAACTGCACAGAAAAACTCTAAGCTTTCCAACTTATCTTAAATGAAATGAAACAATATTCATTGCTTCAAAATGTGAATGCACCTTTACCAATTTTCAATCTAGTCATGATATTTGCTACATTCATTAAAATGACCTTAAAAAAATGAGCATGGTAAATAAATATACAGTGCATCTACATATATATTCTCAACTGAAAAAAACAGCACAAGATGCCATATTCAATCATTTAAATTCAATACTCTCAAGCTCATAGATCTTCTCAATATAGATGAATACACTGTTATAAATTTAACTCAAAGTGAATGCAATTGAAAGCAAAATTAATAATTGCAAGGCAATATAAATGCATATTTAAATTTTAAACCATTTTTATTAAAAACATGTCAGCCACAATGGAAATCAAATGCATTAATTTAATCAAATCCATCCAATGAAGAAAGCAATAATAAATACAAATACGTCACACTAATCTTATATAGCTTTGCGGTTAATATTTAAAATGTAACACTAACGAGAACTGGAATGTTTAAAATTGGAATCAAACTCGGATTGCACCGGAAAAATTTTTATAGACCACCTGAAGATCCTAGAGTTGGTCAAAAACATTAGTGTTATGTTTTAAATATTAATTGCAAAGCTATACAAGGTTAGTGCAATGTATTTGCATTACTTTAATTTGTCATTAGGTAAATAGCATTAGTTATTGGAGTTGAGACCAGTTTGCACCATCATAGTTTTGGCATAGAATTTAGGTTAAATGTCATCTCAGGCATTCAGAGAGTAAATAAGTTGTAGTTGTGTACTTTGAGAAAATTTCGGCTTTGATCACCGCTCAAAATTATATCACAGATTTCTTAAACATTTTTGCGAGCTGCTATGCAGTTTCTCCATGGCAAAAATGCAGCACATATAAAACCATCATCATATTTGTGTGAATGGCCTTTAACATGTCCAAAGTATTGCGGATATGCCAAGTACAACTATTGAAATACACGGGTTAGTGGGTTAAAAATGGCCAATGCTTAATCCATTGCACATACATTTGTATGTGCAATGGATACAGTAATTCAATAAGACAGCATTTTCTAAACTTCTTGGTAATGTGGAACTCTTAAATAAATTTTTTGTGGAGCCCTCACAACTTGTTAGCATCTTTTGATATAAATTTATATAATCAACAGACAACGAGCAAGGCTACCAGACTCTAAAATGCTTTATCTTTTTTACTATTTCATCAAATGATTACATTAAAATATATATAATTGTTTATAACTATTAATAAATTTATAATGATACAGTGTAGGGCCATTAAGCCGCAGGCCAGTAATCTGCAAATTTGCTTAAAACTTGGATCCCAATTTTTAGACACTATGGATCATATGAACCTGGACATGGCCTCTCAAACACTTGAGACAGGTGTTGATAGCTGTCAATTTAGCATTTCAAATGTCCGTGATTGACGTGCTATGCACTATCGCAAATTAAATATTTAAATGCTGGCTTATAACTTCAAAGAGGTATTTATAGAAGATTAGTCTTTTATTTATCAATAAACAATAAAATAACTTACAATGATATTCAAATACAGTATTAATCTGTTTTATCCACGCTGAGTGTCAGCATTATGGAGGCCACCATTGTAACCGATTCACACCTTACAATGCTAGAAAGTTAATCTGCAGTAAATCTGCAAAAAATTGACTCATATTTAAAGTACAGTGTATTATTTTTGATTCAATAATCTGATAAAACTTGAAATAGTATAAATATGAGTCACAAATCCAACGTAAATCACTTCAGTTTCTGAATCTATAGCATGCACATCCTATTTGCTTTAAAAATTTTTACGCCATGAGTAATAAATGAAAAATAAAGAATTTGTTATTCTTAAATAATAATTTATTGTTAATTTTAAGACCATTAATCAAAAAACATTTATTTTTTCATTATTTATTGTAATTTATGCATTATCAAAAAATATTTAAACCGCAGACCACCTAAGCCGCGGTTAAGCAGTTTGGACCCTAATCACTGCAGCTTAACAGCCCTACACTGTATATATTTTATTTTTATCATTCAATATCAGTTGTACAAATGATGCATAAGGGCAAATGGTGTACTGTGTTGAGATGCATTACCAACTCAAATAACTGCTTGCTTAATAATATTTATAAAATAAAACAATAATGCATATAATTCATTAACTTTAAAAATGTCTTAATAGATTTGCAAAGCCCTAGAATTTCAGTTGCAGAACCATCTATAGAAAACATTGCTGTAATAAACTATGCAATTTAAATTAATTTAGTTGCAAAAAGAATTTTTTTAGTTAAATTTTATCAAATTCAGAAGTATTTTCATCAAATATATTTTGTATGTATATCAAATTTTAGAAATATACTTTTAAGAATTAATCTGAATAACTCACAAATCCATTTTACATTATAATACATATAATTTTTTCTAGTGATCTATGATGTTTTATTGGCTGTAAAGAATACATCAACTAAAAGTTTTATTTATTTACTTGAAATTATTGAATAAAATTTGCACACAAAAATAAAATGGTTAAAACCTAAACTTGCTATTAACAATTTTTATTAACTGTGACTTTAACTGCTTCAATTTTCCAATAAATAATTTGTTTTGCTTCTATTCCTGGTTACAAATTGAACATTGTTTACCATTACTTTATACTTGGTTCTTTTCTTTCAAAGTTTTAGGCTACAAAACTGTTAATCCGTAAAGTCTGAGGATGAGAGTATTTCTTGTAGTAGTATTTTCATAATAAACATCAAATTTTATTCCAACTCCATGAAATTTTGAGTTCGCCAGCAATCCCTAGTCATGAGTGTAGTGTCATCATCTCCAGTGAAATTCTAGTGGACATCAAATTCAAAACACAATAGTTTGACACAGATCGTTTGACTTTTACAGTTGCATTTATACATCAGAATTTGTCATACAAATACCTCAGAGCGAAGACAGTTCATTTAAATGGAGATGCAAATGAAAAAGAATGCACATGTCAATAAAATATTAGAAATACTATCGTTGAATATGGTGCTTAATGTAGTTTTTAGCGGCGCTATAGCCGAGAATTCTGCTAACTTATCTATTGTAGCTGCATACAAAATCCAACTATATCCAACAAAATCCAACTGGTCTCTATATGTTTAAAAATTTTAAATCATCTCAGTTATATAAGCTATTTATTATCTGAAAACAGAAATAAATTCACAAAAAGCTAAATTTTCCAAGTAATTTTTCTTAAAGAATGCTTAGATTTAGATATTTTTCTTTTAAAATCATTAAAGCGTAACAATTATGACTTAAAACAAAAAAAAAAACAGTTAATTAAACATTTAGAAATAATATTTGTGTTTTTTATTTGCCTTTATGACACAAACATATACGATCTTTATTCAAAGTTTATGGACATAGTATACTTTCATCAACCTAACCAATCATTGTATGAACACCGATATATTTAAAAATTACATTATAATGTAGATTTTGTGTGTTGAGTAACTAATTCAGACAAATTGGAAAAAAGACACACAAGAAATATAATAAAACTCTTAATAATACACAGTAAATCACTTACTGTTTTACTGAAGTTAATATATAATAATATGTCCAAACTTCAAATATAAAAATAGAAAAATAAATTTTCTAAAATTTATCAAAAATATTTAAATGACATAGCATTCACAACATTTTTAATATGTTCAAAAGGTATTATTACATGGATTTTGTGCCATGTGTTCTAAAGAAAAAGAACCTAGAATGTTAGGTTTTTTTTGGAAACCACATTTTAAACAAAACAGCATTAATAACTGAATATTTTTAAATAATTTTTTGAAAGCAGTCCATAACGCTGCTCAAATATAAAAATATAAGCTTAAAATGTTTGGATATAATGTATATGAACAGTTGTAATAATGCAACAAATGAAGTTCCAAAGCTACTAACCTGAGCAGTTAACCATGTAACATTTAATGAGGACAACTAATCCAAATTAGAGCATAAATTATTATATATAATAAAATATTATAAATTTGAAGTAATTTTATAGCTAGTCGCTACATAAAATTAGATTCCAACAAGATTAATGGCTTGTTTTGGTAACATCCAGAATAATTTTTTTGAATGTTCCTCCAAATACTTTTTTTATATTATATCGTCTCTTTATAAACATTCAAAACAACATTACAGGAGCTAAATGTCAGATAAACAAAAACAAAGAAAAGCCATTTTTTTACAGTTTTGTATTTAATATTCAAGATAACTTACTTACTTGCTAATTAACTACGCAGTTAATTTCTTAAAAAACAAAAAAAAAATCACCTCACCTTTTCCATTAACTGATCATTATTCAGCTGCTGCTCGGAAGCCATAGCTACATTGTTCAGAGCGTCGTACAGTACCGAGGCTGTAACAAAACAAGCATTTGTTAACACTATATTTAAGTAAAACATACAGAATATAATGAACTCTGAGAGAATGTAACTTTATATTGCGGATAAAAAATACTACACCAACATCGGTAGAAGGTTATTCCTAATAAAACGTATTAATGTCGTCCGCCTCCGATATTTATCCACTTTTAATTTTCTGTGAGGAGAATGCAGACTAATATCTTTCATTGATTTGAAATGTTGCCATCTGGCAACCATATGACATTATTAATTCATTTTATCTGCTCTAAATTTTTATTTCTTGACATTATATTAAAAAAATATCTACCGAATAACCTTGTTTGGTTTGTAAAACTAGAAAATATTTTGATTTTGTCCACAAGTAAAACAAATTACAGTGGCACCTACATCCTCTCCTTATGTAAAAAAAAAAGTAATTTGAAGAACTACAAGGAGATTGTAAGCATATAATATTTTTACTTTAATTCTGATTAAAGGTAATGATATTAATCTTAAAAATTACAGTTTAGTATCTATTTCAGAATCTGTGTTTCCCAACAACCAGGTCACAACCCTCTAAAGGTCAAGAACTATATTTATAGGTGATGTTGATGTCTTCCTACAAAGTCACTGGCTAGAAAAGTGTGTGAAATTTCATCTTAGATAAACAAAGCTTATCTTCTATATTAATTAAGTTATAATTATATTAATATAAAATAAATTTTAAAAATATTTAGAAAAAACAATCTTCAATATATAAACAGCTAAATATTTTGTATCAAACAATCAGAAATAAAAGGCAACTTACATATGACCAAATAAACATTCATCTGACATCACTTATTTTAATTTTTGCTTGACAAAACAAAAATTCACTTAAACAAACATGAAACATCACAACAAGTTTATAAGCGGCTTACATCGACAATTCAAGTAATCCCAATCTTTAATTCTCCTTAAGCTCTTTGTATAACAACCATACATGGCTTAAAATGATCATAAATGACAAAAAACTCATTTTATGTTACATAGAATCCGAAATTATCATTTTATGATAATTAAAAGCATAGTTCTGTGACGTTTTATGAAGTAAATTATATGAAATTTGTACTTATTAAAACAGCAATCAAGTAATTGCAAGAGAGAAAAACAATTGTTATGCTCCTTTTTTCAATATTCTTCATGTTTTCTCATTCAAAATTTCTCTATATTTAAATATCATATATAAATGTATAAAATTTATTTTATATTTTTAAAAATTCCATTAAAAATTTTATTAGAAAAAAATTGTTTTATTATATTACATAAAATAAGTTGAAAATTTTATAACATTGGATAAGAGTTTGAATACAATAATATGGAAAGGCACATCAAAATGGTATCATTTTTGAACCAGAATTAAGTTAATTAGTCAGAAATTATGGAGTTTGGTCTAAAACAAGGCTGTTGTGCTAAGATAATACATTAATTAGCTTAAGTCTAGCTCAAAAATCTTCCAATGGTTTGTTACATGTTCCTAAATGTGGCACTTGTATATATCAATGATTTGACGAACTTATAAAACTGCACGCATGTCTTTATAAGCACTTAAAAATTATATCTTACAAAACTTGATAAGAAATTTCCTCAAATGTAACTACAATTCAAGTTACTTTATTAAAATTTTCTCATCCTGAGAAAACACACTTCATAACCAGAAGTTGACAGCAAAGAAAGACTTAAATTAACTTCTGTTGACTTCTAATGGTGGATAAGGTCAAAAAAATCTCATTTTTTAAAAATATATCCTCAAAACAATAGTTTGAAATGGATTTTAAACAGATATGTTTTCCAATTTGGAAGAATTTGTCTATTTTAAATTAGATGGACATATCTATGTTCAACATTCTCACAGCATACACATTGAAATGGAAAGTTAAAATTAAATTTATTTCTAAGCATTCTTAGTGCATGTAAAAATATATATTTACAGAAAAATTTTTGTGTATTTTCCATAGAATGCTAAGATAAGCAGTTTGTCTTAAAAATCTTATAGATTACTAACAACATAATCAAAACCAATAAAAGAAATTATGCTATTAGGTCTAATCTGCACTAACAAGCTACTCAAGGTCCCCTTCAAATATTTAATCAATTATGTATTTATACTGAGAGTAACATTCAAGTCTCATTCGGATGTAAATGCATACATTACATACAAATCGATAAATATTTGATCAAACCTCAAGTGGTATTAACGGACTTTAATCGACAATACCTTTTAGAATGAGCAAACTTTTTGGCATTAAACTCAAGTTGTCTCCAAATTAAATTGTTCTAAGCAGCTATTGCCATACTGTCATGGCATTTCCTAGAGGTAGCCAAGAAATGAGTGGATTTTCTGTGCATGACACTCTTCAAGCTCCAGTCCTCTGAAGAATATCATATGGGCAGAGCATAGCACATCAACAACACTCACCCACTCTTTCACTCTGAGACCTGTTAAAATCATGCACCACAAATATTTAACAACCTTGCACCATTTCTCTCTCTCTCTTTTCACTTCTCTATATTTGTGGTTCTTTTCACAAACACTTGTCACCTTCTTTGGCTTAGAATCTGTTTCTAAGTAAAATAAACAATGTTTCTCTTTCAGTCATACTTCCATTTACTTGCTCAGCACATATTTTCCTCAGTCTTCTACACACTCGTTTGCTCAACACTTCCCACATACATCATCATCTTACACACAATATCTTTCGATATTCTCTCCACTTGGTCAAACCGACACAAGATATCCTTGATGCATTTGCTCAATTGCATTCTCTTTCACACCACACTGCAAAAACACATCCACATTACCCAGAAACAAGGATATGCACTATAGCAGAATGTATTTAAATTTCAAATTTTACATTCTTTTGAGTGTAAAATTTTAAATTTAAGTGTATTCCACTAAAGGACTACATAGCCTGAAGATGGCCAAGTTTGAAACATTTTCCTAGATTAAAACTTTTGACAATTTTAAAAATACAAAGTAACGTTGATTTTCTTTTATTAATCAGTGAACAGAAATGTCTCATTTTCTGATCATTTCAAACTAATACACTGATCTTTGGTTTCTCCTGTTCATTAATTAATAAATATCTAAGAACAGTCCCATTATACAAATGAATGATTCTGATACCTTAACCAGTTAGAGTGTGACTATGAAGATGCAAATTTAGTAGTGAGCAAGAGGTTGAGAGCAATATAATTCTCGCAAAGGAAAACATGCACAAGTGAGAAGCAAGAAATCTCGCTGGTGTGAGCAAATTTCTGGTTCTCGCACATATCTGACACTTTTTGATATTTATCAAGTCTCACCTCTTCTCACCACATACTCTCGCTTGCTCGAAAAATTTACTCGAGTCTGCATAGTTGCACCCTTACAATATTTAACCTTATACAAAATCAGATCATTGGTGACTTGTCTGGTATCAACTCTTTCATTTGAATGAGAAGGCAATTTATAAGAGAGATATATATTTTAAATGTTCCTTTCTCGTCTACGTATCATTAAATATTTTCTATATTTATGAAAGAAAAATAAAAAAACAAGACATTGCCCTTCCTGCTTTGAGTCGACTATGCAATTTCATTTGAGAATTATCAAAATATTATCTATAAAATAAAAGAATTTTATCAAGTTCTTATTGTTCTATAATAAGTTCTCATTCAACCTTGATAGTAATTAATTCATAACTGGATTATATTCTGGCATCTAATAAAATTTCTTGTATTAAAATACAAAACTTGTTTTCTATCAAACTTAACAATAATAAATACATTCATGTTAATTTTTATTATTTCTGTGAAATTTTAATCATCATAATGCATTTCTCATTGTATATCACAAGGAAGAACACAGTAATTTTTCATTTTTTGACAGTTAGCATTACCAAATTTGATTTTTTCACAAAGATTCTGTCGTGACAAATTTGAGTCGGAAATCAATAGCTTTGAAAGGCATTTGAAAAATGTCTTGAATATATTCTTTCATACAATAAAAAATATTTCTATTTCCATTGTGCAACTCTATGAATTTAAAAGATATGAATAGTTTTCTAAAATTGATTAATTTAAAATTAGACATTAAGACAGATTGACTAGCTTTTAAAATAATCAAACACAAAAATTCTGCCTGTTTTCAGATAGTAACTCTACAATGACATAAATAATAATTTACAAAAATTTTATGAATGAATACATTTAAAATTCTTTAATAATCATCAATGATTAGATGCATTGAGGAAACTAGAGTGTTTCAAAAGAAAATTTTATTCTAAGGACTAATAAAAACATCAGTTCTTAAAAACAAATTCTCTGTAATCTCAAAATATATCAGTCAAGTGTGTCAAGCAATGCTTTCTAGATAAACATAAAAGACGACAATGCTTGCTGCACTCTGAAGTACAATTATATTTATTCCCACAAACTTTTAAATTTTTGTTGCATTCTTAACTAAACTCATAGAATGAATTTCCACAAAAATAAACATTCAGTTATAATGCCGATAAAAAGCTGTTATAACAGTTAATTCAGCAATACCATGTCAGTTCATTAGCTTAAAAAGAAGTACAGTAGAGCCTCGATTATCCGACCCCCGATTAACCGACACCTCAGTTAACCGACCGTCCTAGTCGGCAAATTCAAATGTCCGCTAGTGATGTGGCGCTACAATATTTGGCTATGTCTTGGCTACTTTAATATTATTTTTACATGTTTTAGCTTGCAACACTCTTTCGACCATAAAAGGGAGCCAGTATTTAAACGAGGCTTAATTTTCTAATTTTTAACAATACAATAGCGATGATCATTATTTTTAAAAATTTTTGTTAGGCTTAACATCGATGAAAATTCAAAGTGAAGTAGGTTAATAGCAATATACTAATATACTAATTACATGGGATATAATAATATACTACACTAATAATGGATTTTTTCATACTTTTCAATTATCCGACCAACCCCAGTACCCAATTGGGTCGGATAA